ATTTCTTCTTCTATGGTCCAGACACAGGTGAACAGCACTATGCAACTCTTATACTTAAAATTTTGCTGAATGAAAATGCAAAGCATGTGCCCCAGAAGAGACCAACACCTATATCCATAATCTATGATTTTCTTAAAAGAAGAGCAAAGCTACTTAAAAAGTGAGCCAATGCCTTTAAGAGCATTCCCAAAGCTTGCCAGGCGCACCCAATACTGTAGCTATCCCTTCACCCACGCTATTCAAGGCTCCTGTAATAAAGGAGTTATTATCACGTTCCACAGCTTGGAGTTGATTGTTCATACTCTTTACCACGTCGTTCATTTCTTCAGACTTCTTCTTAAATCCTTCTTTTAAGTACTCCATTTGAATCTAAAAGAAATGAATAAAAGTTGACAGGGAAGTACATTTTCGTAATACTGTTATTTTGAGAGCAACGTTTTGTTTAAAGATTGTCAAACTGAATTTATATTACATGAACAAATGCTTTTGCAATTATCACAAAATAAGAAAGCAACAAACAATACTATCTGAATTGAATCAGATGTTGTAAGAAGGAAGCACTGTTTAGTTTTACTAATATTCATTCAACACTCAGCTCCCCTGTGCTCAAGTATGAGAAGAGTTGTGCTCTTGCCAATGTAATGAGTTAACTCACGTTTTAGGTTATAAATGTAAATCTTGTGCTTTCTGTTGTAAATATATACTCACCATGGTTCTAAGTTGTTTAGTAACTAGTGGCTGTTTCTTGCTCTTTGCTAAGATAAAATTCCTATAACCCTCACCAATTCCTGTTACCAAAGTTAGCTTACAGAGATGACTTCAAAAGGAAATTAAATAGGCTTTAACTTCTTGTAACCTCAGGGCTATGCAAGGCTGCCAGCAGGTACTCAGGTGCAAATTAACCAGAAACTAAAACAAAAGCCCCAGAAATGTAGTTTGAGTTGTGGTCTCAATCACTCTGAAAGCATTATTTTGTGTCAGACAATGAGTTTGTTTACCAAACTGAAAGTGGTCATTCAGTGAATTTGCTTATCAAACTCAATGTGGTTCCAGGGTTTAAAACCCCTTCCTGCTTCCTGGGCTGCCTCCTTTTGGTCCTCTCCTGGGTGAGAGCAGACTGGGGGGCCCTGAGCTCAGTAATAAACTGCTTTCCAAATTCCAATCTGGCTGATCTGGTTCCTATTCTGAGTGACCCATAACAGCCAAAGGATATATCTGTAGTGTGATTCTCAGGCCCTCTTAAGTACCAAGGTAATGATATCCTGAGGGTGGAGAATTGTCAGCTGATCTAGGAATTTGTTATACAACTTCCAGATGGACAAGGACAGAATTCCTCTAAGGTCATGAACTAATACCCTCAGGGTACCCACACAAAGTTTTGTGGCTTATTGAAATACCCCCAAAGGTTCATGTGTGTGGAAGGAGATTGTCTCACTGGGGTGCTGCACTCATCAGTTCGTACATTTCTTGTATTCATAGCTAGATATGCCATCAAGGAGGCAGGGCCTGGCCCAAGGTGGGCCACACTGCTTCCCCTCCCTGGCTGCTGAAGCTGAGCGCTGTTCCTTCCCCAGGCCTCTGTGTGTGGCTATTTCCCCAGGCCCCTGAGCGGGCCAGCTATGGACTGAATCCATAGCCAAAACAAAGCCTCCTCCTAGGAGCTCTGGGTCGTGGGTGTTTGTCCCAGAGACAGGAAAGGGAATAGTGCTTAAGGAAGTGACAGGTAAGTTCACAGACAGAAGCTGTCAGTGCGTTCTGCTTTGAAGCCTATATTTATGTTACTTTTATGGTAGCATAAATCTGGTATAACCTGACCAAAGCACCGCCATCCTGTTCTATATGCACTGTCTTAGTGAACCAAGTCAGCTGCTGCAAAATGTGCCTAGCTCCCAAAACTTCTGTTCCTGTAAGCCTTGCTGTGAGCCCTCGCCCCCACCCTTAAATTCCTAGAACTTCCTCAAACCCCTAACCCTATTTAGTCTCAGCAGCTGCCATGTCTTCCTGAATTTTATCCTTTGTGCTGATAGTTAATTTACAACCTTGTTAAAGCCATTTGGTCTGTAAGCAGCCATTAGGACTCCAACTCTATCCTTTGTGCTAATAATTAATCCACGGCCTTGTTTTTCTAGCTTCACCCCTTGTACTTATAGTTGATTTATAACCTTGTCCTCTCCATAACCTAGTTCCTGTGCACATCGGACCAGGAAGATAACTAATTGTAGAAAAATACCAGATGTGCTCTGGCCCCAGACGTTCCCAAGCAATATGAACCTAAGAGGACCATAGCCAATCCCTCCAATTCCTTTTTAAAGTCACCTCCTGCTAACCAATGCCATTTGCTTCTGTACCTAGCTTGTTATCTTAATCCCACCCCTTACTGGCAGTTTTGGAGCTTAAAAACAGATCCTAGGTTGTACTCTGAGCTTCTCTTTGCACTCTTGCATAGAGACTGCCTCCGCAGGGTACCTGCTAAAATAAAGCGCTTCTTTAACTTTTGGACTTGCCTCATTGTCATTTAATTTTTGAGTTACAACAGAATCTACCTCAGGGACTTTGCATGATAGTAGAGGCTATCACAATATTGGTCTTGTTTTGTTTTTGGTTTATGTATTTGTCACAGGGTCTTGCTAAGCAGCTTGAGAGCATACTGATTCTCCTCTTTATAGCCTCCCCACTGCTGACATTACAGCTGTGCACAAGCACACCAGATCTCAGTGTCCAAGTATGCCTGGGGGTTAGCCAGTGTGACACGTGGTGACAGGGAGTGAACCCCAGTCCCTGCGCTTACCTAAGCAGGTGTTTAGTCCGCTGAGCTATCTCACCAGCCCAATATTGGTCTTGGTAATGCAGTACAATTGTTACTGATGTTAGCTAAAGATGGTTGGAAAATGTAGTTATTTTGGCCCTCATGGGATCATTCCATAAAAACCCAAAACAGCAATATAAATGCTATTTATATTCTCCAGGAATATAATATAATAAGGAACTATATAATATAATATAATCAAATCAAAGGAACTATAATATAATATAATATAATCAAAGGAACTATAGAAGCCAAGTTGATATGAACTCTCTAGATTCTACATCTGGACAAAACTCAAGGAAATTATGTTTAAGCCCTAAAAAAGCCAAAGATCCAGACATTCATGAAATTAGAGACACCACATGGTGAGGCTCCCTCCTTCCATGAGTGGAATTTCAACTTCACCTTCAGGCACAGGTACCTGGACATAAGGCAGTGCTGAGCAAAGCATACGCACCTTCATTTGTTGTTCCAACATCATTTTCTGCTCTTTGAGGAGGTTTTCTCTCTCTGAAATTAGCTTCTTTTCCAGTTGCTCCATGTTTTCCCTGTGTGTCCTTTGTAGAGCTTCTTGCTTTTGCTTTTCCTCCTGTATTCTTGCTGCTGAAATTTTTTGTTCCATCTCAGCTGCCTCCTTCTTTGCCTTCCCCGCTGTATCAGGGAAATTAAAAAAGGGAAGAAAAAAAGTAAAAACTAATTCTATTTTCCTGAGCTCGGAGACCAAAACGAATCTGAAGGACACCACAGGGAAGTCACAGAGTTCATATGGGTCCATGCTGTGCAGAATGTATTTCACAACATGATGGAAAATGCACTGCCCTTCTATGTGACATAAGACTACAACTCCCTTCTATTTTTTCACATTCATCAGCATGCACACAGTGCAGAAGAAAAAATTCTAGGCATTTGGGGAAGGGTTCTAGTTGGGTCTGCCAGAATCATTGTGGGAATCTAAGCACACTGGGAAGCTATGTCTTGTGCATTTACCTGCGATCGCCCTGTCCCTCTTAGTAAGCTCTTTATCTGACTGCAGGATAGAGTCCTCTGTTGCTGCCTGGGAGTGCAGGAACTTTTGGAGTACCTCTCTTGCCTTTGAAACCAAGAAAGAGCAAATGAATTACCACGGAGACAACAGTTCTGCAAAATACATATATGCACATCATTTTGCATGTAGTGGCTCTCTACAAAGTGATCAAGCTTCTAACTGTCACCAGAGAGCCTCCATGTCTCCCACTGCCCATCTCGCTCCCTGCACCCTTCACTTAGGGCTCCTTCCTGCCACTGCTCTAGGGTTCAGACAGTCAGAATTATGTGCAATTGTGTAAACTACCACCTGGTGATTTAATGTATTTTTCTTCCAATCATATAACCTGTAGCTCTCTCTTCCTCCTCCTAGTTTTATATTTAGGAGAAAATTTTATATATGTCATGGCCTCTTAATTAAAAAATAAAAATGTTCACAATAAAAGGTTATTTCACTTCAAGCTAGATTAAATGGCTACATAAGAGTTTATCATTAAGTGCATAAGCACTAACTGTTCTTCATGTTCCTTCACACCACCTATCTGGCACATTCTCATAGGCTGGTAAGTCATATCACTCAGGTTGCAAATTGCCAGCCTGGAGAGCAAACAGAGTGGACCTGGGAAAGCACCCACACTTAGCACACTGCAAGTCATCTTGTTGGATGAAGAAATGGATACTTTTTTCTGTTCCTCCCGATTTTTTGAACTCCCTACTATTTCTTAGGGAATTAAAATTTCTACCTTCCAGAATGTTGTCTATAGCAGATAAGCAGTACTAAAGACTAAAGTGATTTCCAGGGCATAGCCTCCTAGTAGAGCACACACAGGAAGCCCTAGTTTGACCCCTACTCTGGGAGAAAGAAGAAAAAGATTTCATGTAACCTGTTTTCTTGTTGCTCCCAACTGATTCTGAAAGCCCCCTGATGTTCCTCTCTGGACTTCCCAGGCTCCCTGCACCTCACCTTGACTCCCTTCCTGGGCACTTGGCAATAGTCCTCCTCAATCTTTTTCCTCATTTCCATGTAGCGCTTGTGCCCCCCAGGAGCACAGAATCTTCCTGCTGAAATGCTTTCCATTAAGGCTTTTGAAAGCAAAGTCAGTTCTTTCTGGCAGTATTGATGAGATTCCTCTTCATTCTTTAGTAAGAAATCCTGCTTCTCTTTCTCTATTGTTTCCTACAATACAAAAATACAGAGATGTCCCAGAAGGATGACTTCAAGCTGGATCAAGATGTCCTCAGAGAGAGAGAGAGACAGAGAGCAAAGTTACAGAGAACTTTGTAGGAGCATCAACCTGTTTCTCATAAGAAAAGTATTCTATTGAAGTAAGCTGAGGGAAGAATGAGGATTCATAAATTTGATTTATTGAAAACCCCTAACTCTCTCTGCAAATCCATGAGAAACTTTTGAAAGCTTCCTGGATCTCTGGATCCTCAAGGGACTGTGTGCTACCATCTCTAAGGTTTATCATTTAATTCTATTTCATGAGCACATATTTGCAGTACACAAAGTTTACATTCATCTCAGAGAAAAAGTACATGCATATGACACACCCCAGATCCTTTCTACTCCCCTTCTCCTCCCACCGACAGCCCTCCCTCTATCTATAGAAGACATGCCCCCATCTTTGTTATTATTGTTCTCAGTTCATGCTTATGACATATAATGTTTACCTTCACTGTGGGTAATTGGTCCATGTACAGGACACATCTTTATTTTAAAGAGCATAAAACTTAAAATAGCAGGATTTTAAAATAAGATGATGGGGAATCAGCAATGGTTGCTGTATTGTTTATTGTTATCTTCAAAGTAGTTTTTCAGGCTACCAGATATAGGCATGTGCAATGGATTTAAAAAATAAGCATTAACTGTTCCTTTCATAAAACCAATAGAATTTAGTAGTACAATTATCTTTATATATATTTTTTCTTCCTTCTTTCTTTTCTCCTTTTACCATCTCAGCTCTTCTTTCCTTTTGAGCAGTTCCTTTCCCTTTCATATTTCTGTTATATTTTTGGGATTTTTGTTTACTCTTTCAGTTTCTTGCACTATGGAGACAATAAGATGTTTATACATGTGAGTCTGATCTATTTCACTTATGAGTATGGTCTCTAACTCATCCCCCTCCTAGTATATGCAATCCATGGTTATTTGTTGAAGGATATAACAAAGAGCAAGTACACAACAAAGAGCAGCATGGGATGAACAACAGTGCATAATTAGTGTGTGGTAAGAGGAATTTAGTTGCTAGGAATGGGCAAGTGTGCACTGAAAATGTGAACACCTCAGGGATGATTCCAGAAAGCTCTGGGCAGGTCTGCAGTCTTAAGAAGCACTTCTCAGAACCCACTCCAGGTATTAAGGGGGCATCTATACTGGTCATGCTTCAGTCACCTTGAGAAAATGCTACATAATAGGACTGAGATTTAGGGTGGAGGAAGAACATGTAGGTTTAGAGACTCCACCCAATCAGAATCCAAACTGTTTTGTCCTTGGATAAGAGAAAAGCCATGAGTTGAATGTAGCAACTTCTGGGCTTCCCTCTTCAATGGAAAGGCTAAGGAATGTATTGGATGAGACACAATACCAGAAACCACGTGGAATAAAATCATTGTGTACCACAAACATGTGATAATAAAGACAGAGAAAGTAAGACTCAGTACCACCAACTTCTTCTGGAATTTCCCATCTTCATCCTTGAAGGAGTTCTCCATGAAGACCGCAATGGCCTTCTTCTCGCAGGCCGCGTGCACATCCAGCAGCTCCTGGAGCGTGTCTGTGGGGAGCTGCAATCGCTGGGCCATCTGCTCGCTGTAGTGAGCGGCTGCCTTCTCCACGGCTGCTGCATTCCAACGCTGAGCCAGAGTGATCACCGTGTTCTCCAAGCAGGGCACCGCCCCACTATTGATGGCCTTCACGTAGCTCTCCACCAGAGCCCCCAACCCTGAATGAGCCAGGAATTTGGGAGATAAATAGGAAAGTCATAACTAAAAGGAATTTAAATTTCTGAGACTATCATTCTAATCTCTCTCTCTCTCTCTCTCTCTCTCTCTCTCTTTCTCTATCTTTCTTTCTCTCTCTCACACACAAGCACAGGTATGCTCACACTCATGCACAAGCATAATTAAATAACTACTTCCTTTTATAATTACATTCACATTTCTACTAACACATTCATTTATTCAGTTCTCCCGATCACAGTTAAACAAAAACCTTAATATCAGTAACTAGTTTCATGTAATATTCTAAAGTATACCTGGAAAACATAATTTCCTTTTCAAATTTAAAGGAAAATGTATTATATATGTGCTAATAAGACGAGATACTATATCTGCTACTAGTTCTCGGGGTTTCTGGATTTTCAGGTACTTAGAGGGCAATATCTATATTTGAACTGCTTCAAACTTTCAAAACACACTTTCCACACTTTTTGCAAAGAATTTGCATGTAAGACTTCCTTGAGAAAACTATATGTTTTCTGGCAAAATAAGTGATTTCTATTATTAATATGGAATTGATTTTTCAGAGATGTAGAACCCACACATACCTCCAACAAACTGTAGAGTTTCGAGAGGAATTTGTAAACTTCAGTAAGATGAGAATAAGTTATGCACATTTTTATAAAGCATGCGTATATGCATATCATAGTTATAATTGTACAAAACAATGCAAACACTCTATATAATATATTCCACATGCATTCCCTTGCACAGAAATGTATAAAGAAGACTCACGATTCCCAGTGACCACAATTCCCTCTCTGAGAGTCTTGCTCTTTTCATGGGTGAGGACATAAGAGCAGAAAGTCTTGGTTTGTTCCAGGAATTTAGGATTCAATTGGTCCTCTCGGACATTCTCAATATTGGCCAGGAGACTGTTGTTATTTGTTGGCCAGCCAAAGACAAAGCACTTCCGCTTTGGAAAGAACTTCCGGATGCACTCCCTGGTACTATTAGATGCTTGTGCACTGAGTTTATCATCTAAGAAATTAGAAAACAAGACAGTGGGCATAGACTCAGAATTGGACAGTGAAGAGTTTTCCCTGGAGTTGCCATATCTCACAGGGTTCTACCTAAAACAGTGCCTTTATCATAAATAGTTAATAATCACTTGCACATCGAAGTTGTATCGATGATATTACTGACGTGATATTTGGAGTCACATCTTACTCCAGTAAAGACCAAAAGTTTTGCTGATATCCCCAGAACTGAATATGGCAGCAAGTAGAGGGCAGTTGTTTGTTTGGTGTTTACTTATTGAAGAAAAGGTCAAATATATATCTATTTGGAGTCAACTCATTCCCTTGTTGAAATTAAGCTGAAGAACCAAAAGTAAGAAGACAGACTAGTAGGCAATAATGGAATAATTATAGCCATATTAAAAATGCTACTATGACTAGTTAAAAAAATCATTTTGATGCCAAAAATATTCCATGTAAAATTCTAAATGTACAGTGATAGAAAATAAAAGTGATTGCCAGGAGTGTGCAAGAAATGAGAAAAGTGTAGGTTGGAGGACACTAGGTAGCAGATGTATAGGATGTGTAAGTCTAGAAATCTAATAGAAAACAGGCTGGAGTTAGTGAAGCTATTCGGTTAAAGATTACTCACATAAGTCAAATTTAGTTGTATGATCACAAGAATAGCTACACGAGATGATGGACGTGTGATCTGCTGCATCAGAGTAATTCCTATAGTGTCTACATGTATCCTATATCACGTTGTAGACATCAAAGAAAGACTTTAAAATCTCCTTTACGTAGTATTGGATATCTCTATCAAAATTCTTCAAAGATAAAAATATCCTTTTAAAATAATCGCCACTATTCTATCAAATCTTTAAAATAAACAACTATATTTGAAATGATTTTTTTCCAATTAGTCAGTGAATGTATTGAGGAAGAATATATTACAAAACTGAAAGCATTAATAAGTAAATCCAAACTGACATTCTCACAAGATCTCTTTGGATAAACATGTCAACAATCTACATACGACATATACCTTTATTCATATAATTTATTTTGAAATGGCAGGATGAATAAACATGCCATGTCAGAATTAAAAGAAATCTGTATTGTCTATACAAAGTACAGTGGTTGCCACAGTAATTATCTAAATATTGAAAAAGCAAAACATGAAAAGAATGCTTCTTTAGTTTATTTAGGGTATACAGATACTTTATGTCTTCAGTGTTAGGAAGTTAAATATCATTATTAGTCCACCTAGAAAAGAATAGCACCAGTACAAAACACAGACACACAGTAAGATGAGCATGTACAACAATTCTGTGATCAATTGTTCTCCTAAACAGAGAAAAGAAGATGTTTAGATAGGATAGAAAATGCCTCTACTTTAGACATATTTAATCAACCACTGTATTCTGCATTCTAAAGACAAATGTGTAAGGAACAAAGTGAAATGGAACAATTTCACTGTGTGCTGTGTTCTTATATATGTTGTTTTCTTCCTTTCTTTGGGCTTCCGACCTATGACCCAGTCATAGGGTCATGTAGACCTCCAGCCAGTGTCAAATATAAAGAGGTCCCCAGAAATGAAGCACCATCAGCACACCCACCCTACAGAAACTCCCACACAGTCTTTGTTTGCATACCTGAAATCAGCTTCAAGGCTTTCTCCAAATACTGATCTGCTGTGATGAAATTATCATTGCATTGTAGCTGAAGATTGAAATCCCGCACAGCCCAGATGAAGTCTGGAAAAAAGCTCACAAACTCTGTACAATCTTGTACTCCATCTGAATTTGAGGAAGACTTTGCCTTGATCAGTTCTGTGAGCTCTGTCACATAACTAGGACTTAGCTAAGGAAAAGGAAATTACTACTTGAAATCCCCATATTTCCTTAATAAAAATTATCATAGCAAAGTTCTTATTGCCTACATCCCCTCTACTCCACCAAGAGCAAGCCCGTGACAGAGTAAGAAAAACTGACTCAATATTCATCTCCTCAGAAGCCACTGACATGCAGTGGCTCCAGTCCTGAAAGGATACTGCAGCTGCTCCAGGGCCTGGTGGTTGATGGTGCCCATGCTGTTGTAGACAAAGGTGCTGCTCAGAAGGATGGCCAGGGCAAAGATCCAGGAGTCATTCTTAGGGTCACCCTAGAAAGTACAGGGGAGCAAGGAACTGAGGAGTCTCTTCTTTGGAATTTCATTCAGACATTAGACATAAAATTCTTTCATTTAGGATTTCAGCTCAGGTACTCAGTATGCAAAGAACACAGACATAAGGGCAAATAACATGAAAGCAATAATGGTTCTCAGGATCACAATTTTTTCACCCTACAAATGAATTTTAATCTTTATAAAATTTTCCTCTCAGATGAAATAAATGAACCTAAAGAAACACTAGTACTGTGTCAGGTTCTCAGAAAGATATTGACAGATGGATGCTGTATTTTTTATTCAAAACATATTTATTAGTTATAGGTCAAAGGCAAGAAATGATCATATTGGACTCTGATTAGGGTACAGAAAATATCTGAACCAATTTATCAATGAGAGGAAATCTATGTGAAAAGCTTCTTGATACTGGGTCGAATTAATGTAGCTTTGCTTGGTAATATATTATATTTAACATGACACCCAAAGCTCAGGAAGAGAAAAGCAGAGAGGTGGAAACCATCAACTAAAATGATTTCTGATAGCAAAAACTGAACTATATGAAAAGATAGCTATAGGAAATAAATGCTTATAATGTATGTATTTTATAAGGGTTAATATCAAAAATAATTCAGAAATGCCTACAACTCTATAGCAAAACCAATCAAATAACCCAATTGAAAACTAACAACAACAAATTTGAGTATACATATACATCATGTAAATGTATATGTATATATAATACATATATATTCATAAGGGCCCAGGAGATAGCTCAGTAGAATAAGCACTTGCCTGGCAAGGGCAGTGTCCTCAGTACAATCCCCAGTACCACAAAAGAAAAAGGTGTTCCTAGTCTATAATTATCAGGGAAATAGCACTAAAAGCATAGAAGAAAGAAATTGGCACGTGGTAGAATGGCTGTCATCATAAAGACAGAAGATAACAAGCTTAAACAAGGATTGAAAAAAACAGAACATCCTTGTAACTATGAGTTGAAATATCAACTGGTGCAGCAGTTAGGAAAACATATTATGAAGTTTCCTTAAAAGATTAAAAATACAAGAATCGTATAATCCCGCAATCTCATTCTATTTATAGTTACAAAGAAAATGTGTTAAAAATAATAATTTCACTTCCATCTTAATTGCAGCTTTATTCATAATAGACACATGTTGGAAAACTATAAATAACAATCAGTAAATAAGTGACTAAAGGTAATATCTATTCAACCATGGAGAATATTTGCACTATCATAAAAAAGAAGGAAGGGCCAGCCAGATAGCTCAGTGCACGAAAGTGTCTGTTTAGGCAGAGCACAGTGGCCAGGGTTTGATCCCTGGCATACTGTGCCACCCCCACTCCCAGGGTGTGCTGAGAAGGTGATTAAGACTGGGTGTGGTGGCACATGACTGCAATCCCAGTGCTTGGGAGGCTGAAAACAGAAGCATCACTACAAGTCTGACCTGTGTAGTGAGACCCTGAACACCAAATATGCATTATACTTGGTAGCTCAGAATATGAATAAGAAGCCCTTAATCAGACATCGGGACAGGGCTCACTCCTCACCATCTTTCCTTCAAAGGCCTCCTCATGCCCCACTGCACACTGTGAAGCATGGTGTATGTTTTCATCACCTCCCAGGATGGTCAAACTCACTCCCTAACTCTCAGCAATGCTGATGCACAAGAGTGCCACATGTAAGTGCTCTTCCTGAGAAGGCTTCCAAGGCCAATTAAAGCGATCAATCACCACCAAAGACCCAGCACACCATACCCAACAAAAGATAATTCAAAGGGCAGCTCCAGCCACATTTCTCCTGAGAGAATGCACAGGGGCCAGCCACCGCACAGGCAGCACCTTGCTCTCTCCAACTTGCTTTTTTTCCCTGTACACAAGTTGAGAAAGACCTGAGGTTTCCTAATTGGACTTGAAGGCCCTGGTGGAGCAGAGCCTTTGTTCTGTTCAGTAATATCTATACTACTAAACTCATAAGTCTAGGACTTATCTGCTCAATAAGCTTCACTTAAACTGAATCAAATTACTAACACCAATGTCAAGTAATTAAAAAAATATTTTACCTAAAGGAACATGATATCCAATTTTATCTAGAAATGCGATTAAACAGAATGAGGTTTACATCTTTCACTGTTGTTCAGTTTCTGATTTCACAAAAAGACTACAATGGTTAAATCATAAAGAATTAGGAAAAGGGAGAAACTACAGGGTCAAAAGAACACGTCTGTGTTTTGGTTAAACTGTGGTTCAATGTAGCATGTTACTATTGTATCCTTAGTATTATTGTTTGCTTAATAAATGTACAAATAAAGAAAAAAAAAGCACATGTCTGGCTCTCTCTGCCTCACCTTTTCCACATCGCCCAGACCCTCAGTGTCCAGAAGGACCAGGGTGTGATCTGGATTGATGGGGTGGGGCATACACCACATCCAGATGCCCTTGGTTTTAGACTGAATAGTAGATCCCAGCTGGAAGCCTGAAGGTAAAAAGAGAAACAATGGAGACATCAGAGTTTACACAGCAGCATAGAGACTTTGACCTCAGGCTTCTGGAGGAGAAGTACCTCAGCAGACAAGGTGTTGCTTCTTCACTATCTCCAAAAGTGATTTCTCTACCAAGTAGCAAGGAGTATTAAACATGGCAATGAAGATATGCAAGGGCTCAAGGCATAAGCATCCATGAATCAGACAAAACTGAGCTCACTGCCAACTGCAACAAGAGCATTGGGAAAGAAGGGTTAGGCTGAGTCACAGAGGAGCAAACTGAGCAGAGATCAGAAAAGAAGAGAAGCAGGACATGGAAATTGGAATCATACATTTGTATTAAACAGAAAAGCAAAACAAAAGCAAAGGTTGGTTATCACAATGGAATATGAAGCTCAATGAAGGATTTTTAGACAAATGCCCAAAGATCTCTATGTATTAATGAGAATATTTCCTACATGAAGCAAAATATAGATGAAGAGAAGCATCGGTATCAGTGATTGAGAATAATTTTGAGCATTGGAAGAAGAGATTTTGTTCAAAGACAATAAAGAATATGGAAATGAATGAGAGCAAATTAAAGATTTGCTGGTGAGAATTGGAATAAGTTGCTTTACTGACAAGAGTTGGGCTCTCCCTTGTGCTGCCTTGGAACAAGAAGAAAGAAGCTGAGATGGAGCCAGTTTCCGACCCCCATGATAACACCCACCACAGTTCCGTCCAGCGAGGCGGTTCATCAGGTAGGACTTCCCCGTACGGTACAGTCCGACAATGGCCACCACCACCACCGGCTGAGAAATCTTCTCAAGAATCTCTATGGCTTCCTTGTTCACTGTCATCACTTCATTGATGTTTTCCACCAGACAAATAGGGGCCTCCATTTTTACTGCAGGCACCATAGCAATGTTCCAACCTAGAAAAACTCTCTAATTAGAAATAAAGTTAAAAAGTTTTATGTCAAATGTACCAGAGCACCAACAAAGTCAGGGCAGACAAGGCTTCTGCACTGTCTATGGGAGAACATGAATCTAACGTCAGCAGATGCAGACGGCTTCCTCATCATTCTGCCAAGTCTTTAATGATGATTTGGATTAAGCATACAGTATTAATATCTCCAAAGTTTACTTCAATAATAATAATAAAACCCAAATAATCTCCATAATTTGGGAACTACACCATAATAAACCATGTATATTTAATATTTTATACTACCTGCAATTAGACCTTATTTCAAGCCCAGTGGTGGCAACTGGGGATCTGAAGACATGACAAAATCTGGATTTTATTTGACCCTGTCCCTTGTAAGGTTTAACTTCAACCTTTCACAATATTGACAAATTTTGAGAAAAGTAACCAGCCCTTAGAAAGCCCCTCCCCTCCGTGCATCAGAATTAGAAGCTGTGATTCCTGAGCAGAGCTCCTTCAGAGTTGGAGAGGGTGCCTGAAGGGAAGGCAGTGTCTTACCTGCTCTCCTCAGCGCACCTGGTTTGGCTTCGCTCTTCTGAGCCTCCAACTGCATCCTCGGGCTTTTATGTCTACCTGAGATGCTGACTGGCATCTGTATTTGCATGAGCGGAAAACAATGAATCACACTCACCTTTTTCATGGAGTTAGAGGAAGGTGAAACTGAACGTACTTAGTTTTTGGCAAACATCAATAACTATAAGGAGAATTTTTGTAATTGTTCCAGAGGGATGGTTTAGAAAGATTTATCATCCCACTTTTTCAAAAGTTTTGTGGGAAGAATTTTGACACATCAGTCTTTTTAAAAAGTTCCCGTAGGTCTAAAATATAATGGAATATCATTCAAGATTGGGGTGAGTTTGAGCATACTGGAGTGGGGAGACATCATATTTTCTTTAAAGTATAATCTACAAAGGTTACATGATTCCTTCACAGTGTAGTTGTGCATTGAGAAATGCAGTGCAGGAAAGGGCTTGTAGTGCTGTCCCTGAGTGCTCGGCCCCTGGTTCTGATGTTCACTGTGCAGTTTGGAGGGCTCCCTTCATGATCCAGTTGTCCAGGTGGGGCCATTGCTGCAAATGGATTGCACATCTTAATTATCTTAACAAACTTTCCCATGATAGATAGAAATAGGGGTACAGACAGACCGAGTCAGTTGTCTCAACTCACAGCACTGTAAGTCAGCTGAATGCCAGCAGCCTGGATTCTGATTCCTGAGTCACCTCACAGTGCTGAATCTTAATGTGTGCACTGAATAATTGTAGAAATATTTGATTTTTCTTATGAATTATTATGGAAATTTTTCTATGTTTTCTTTAAAATCAGCCCCGATTCAGTCATTTGAAAGAAACTTGTATAGCCTCTAATTTGCAAAGAAAACAAGAAGTGAGGGTAAGTGGTTAAGTTGGAGAGTCTTCTAGCTGAATGGTGGTCCTTGACACCATGCTCCTTGAAGCCATATTACATGGCTTCTCTGGTGTGAGAACCTGAAAGTATAAAAAGATCCCCAAATTCATGTTGGATACTGGGAAATGAGAAGAAAATGTTCATACGAAAAGGAGAATGGCAGATGGAGGAGAAAGAACAGAGGGACCAAATAAATAAATACCAAAAAATAGGAAAAAAAAAAAAACTTTCTTAACTAATGAGAGGATGAAGAGTTTAAGGGAGGGATAGGGAATGGATAAAAACAAGCAAAATATAGCACATGCAGTTAGAATTGTCTATTATCTATCCATCTATCTATCTATCTCTGTCATTTATCTGTCTCAAAAGACAACAAAATGTATCAGTAAAATAAAAAAGAATTTTGAAAAAGAAGTCATGTGAAGCGAAATATTGTTTAGATGTGACTTAATGTGTCCCCCACAAGTTAATTTTTTGTGTACCTTGAACCCAGTATGGTGATGTACAAGTATGCTGTAACCTTTAAGTGGTGGTATCTGTGAGTGATTATTTTCTTTCTGAAAAAGTTTTATAAGAGTTGAGTATGGTATTTGTGCTTCTATGCACTACATGCTGTGAGGCTAAGGCAGGACAGTCACCATTTTGCCCCTATCCTCATCAGCTTAGTGACTTAGCAAGAACTTGTTCAAAACAAAATTAATGAAGGGACAGCGAATCTAGTTCATTGAGATGATTCTGAGTTCAAACCCCGGTTTTCCCATGCCGATCACCATGCACAAAACTACAGTCGCAATGGCTCAAAGATTTAAATATTAAAACTGAAACACTAAATCTTCTGGGAGAGAAAGTAGGTAGAAACTTTAAGGACATAGGTGTAAGTAAAGAGTTCATGGACAAAAATCAAATGGCATGGGAAGCATTTCAAAGAACCAATGATAGGAATCTCATATTTTTAAAAGTTTCTTCATGTCAAAATTAATCACGATCTGAGGAGCTTCAGAGATGCTCAGTCCAAATGCCAGTGGGAGAAGGCTGTCCCCCTAGCTGTATGAGTTCCTTCTGCCCTTGTTCCCAAAGGAGTTATTGAAAAGTGGAGGGGTTTTTTGTACAAGACATAGTGTCCCTTGATAGCTGCCCTCCCAACTTGAAGCATTTCAGGCTTTCTTCTGAGCTCAGGGGCCTCTGGCTCTCCTGGAACACTTTGATAAGACCTATACCATTTTACATCACTTTCAGAGTATAGATCCTGGCCTCAAGGAAGATGCTCTGGAATTCCTGACAAAAGTGGTATCCCACCACTCCCAGGAGCTTCCAGCCATCCTCGAGGATGCAACCCTGAGTGCATCAGATAGAAGTGCCCACCTCAATGCCCTCAAGATGAACTGCTGTGGCCTGATAGGACTCTTGCAATCTTTTGAGACAATGGCCAGCCAGCCAGGCATCATGGACCTGGACATGGGCAGGAATAAATAACAAGAAATCATAGAGCCAAGCAGCCCATGGTTTTGACTGGGTAGAAGAAAAAACATCCAATTCTTCAGCTCTTAACACAGCTCCTCTATTTGGACATCCGTCACTTGTGAAACCACTCAGTAAGCAAAGAGGAATTTGTCAGTCTGCTTACTGGCTGCTGCTACCACCTTCTGGAGAATCCCACCATCACTTACCAGAAGAAACGCCCAACCCGTGAAGCCATGAGACACCTACTAGGGGTGGTCTTGACACACTACAGCCACACACTCAGTGCCACTGTAAAGATCATCCAGATGCTACAGCAGTTTGAGAGTCTTGCACCTGTACTGGTGGCAGCGGTGAGCATCTGGGCAACAGATTACCGAATGAAGAGCATCGTGGGAGAGATTGCAACAGAGACTGGACAGAAGTGTCCTCAGCAGCTGAGTCAGGACACATCAGGGGCCAAGGGCTTTGCCCACTTCCTGACAGAGCTAGTAGATTGGGTCCCAGCAATCCCACTGTCCAGCACATGCGTTCTGCTGGATCATGTGGATGGAAAGAATTATATGATGTGCAAGCCATGCCAGCAGTCATGGCAGAGATGGTGCTGCAGGTTCTGCATGGTGACCACCTGGAGCTTGAGAGACCAGGAATCAGTTTCTGGATACCCTGCAGGCCCATGGGCACGATGTCAACTCTTTTGTCTGGAGCCACATCTTACAGCTCTTCTCCCAAAGCATGCAGCAGAAGCCACTGCCTCTGATGCACTTCCGGGTCATGGTGACTTTAGTTTGTGGCCTCTGGCAGACAAGTCAGCACTCATGTGCAAAAATGCCACCCCCTGTTGGCCAGCTTCCAAGCCAGCATTCCCTTCTCCTTCAAGCTCAGTGGCGCAGACCTTGCCGGACCACTGCAGAAGGAAATCCAGATATGACAAGAAATGAGGGCCCAGAGGCAGAGCACAGCAGCTGCCTCTGTAGCAGTGGAGTCTGACGAGGAGTGGGAAGCAATGATGCGCCAGTTGAAGCCCTCCCTGCAGCAGCTTCTAAAGTTTCCCCAAGAGCAGGGGTGGAGAGGAGGGCTGTACATGCTCGCGACAGACACCGCCAGGTCCGTGACTGTGCGCTGGGTGCTCAGTCCCTTTCTCACCAGAGAATAGCCGGCCATTCTGCACTTGAACTTGTTGAACTTAAGTTTCTGTTGTGTTGAGTGGGGGTGGGTAGTCTAGCTGAAGGAGAGATTTAGGCCTACAGCTCAATGTTTGTTTATGGTTCATTTACATGTTTAGAGCATGCAGTGGGAGGTCCGCTATTGACCAGGACAAGTGCAGGAAAACTAGGATGGATGTTGGAGGGAGGAGAATTATTTTCATCACATTTATATCATAGTACACTGCCTAACATGAAGCCAGAGATGGTGATAATGAAAAGCAAAATATCTATGATAACAACTCTAACTACACAAGGTGGTAGACTAGACAGTTATTAATAAACTTTTCTTCTTTCTGTGCCTATAATGTATTATCATCGGCATTTTTCAGACCACTGTGTGCAGTTTAAAGGTGATCAGTGCTTTCTCGCAGTCCGTCAGGCCCTAATACTCTGACTGCTTAGTGGTTTGGGGTTACCTGAAATGAGGAGGCAGTGGTTGGAACAAGCCCACATCTGATTCCTTCTGGGCTGCAGGGTTTGCTGACGTGGCCCCACCTTTCTGCTTTAGTAAAGGATTTCTGGTGTCATTTTAGGATGACTACTTTTGCTATGGACATGACTCAGATTGAAAGTGAAAGGATGGTGCACTCTTGCCTTCTCAGAAGTGGATCAGGTGTCTAGGCAGCAGCTCCTTTCCCGGCACCATGTGCAGGGAGCAGGCATGTGCACCTGTGTGTAGTTCAGGCCACTGAAACTTTTTCTGGAGTTTTTATTTTCAATGCTGGCTGTGAGGAAGCTGTTTCCACCTTTTCCTGTTTAGCTAGCTTGAGCCACATAGGATCAGTGTATTATTTTAAAACATAGTTGCAGGCTGAACTTATTCACAGTTTAGTACATGCATTTAGTTGTTTCAGTGACTTCTC